GGGATACCAAATTCAGACATCGCGGCATAAAGGCAACTTCTCTTCGTGCTGTCGAAAGCGGCTTTGAAATCGACAAATAGATGGTGTGTGTCGATCCTATTCTCGCGGGTCTTTTCCAAGATTTGGCGTATTGTGAATACCTGATCTATGGTGGATTTTCCAGGCCTAAAGCCACACTGATAAGGTCCAATCAGCTCGTTGACGGTGGGCTTCAGTCTTTCGCACAATACGCTCGATAAGACCTTGTAACCTATGCTTAGAAGGCTAATTCCGCGGTAGTTGGCGCGTATGGCGGGGTCGCCTTTCTTGTGGATTGGGCAGAGCACACTTAAATTCCAGTCGTCGGGCATGCGTTCATCTGACCATATTCTGCATACAAGCTGATGCATGCACCTCATCAGCTCCTCGCCGCCGTACTTGAATAGCTCGGCTGGCAGGCCGTCAGCTCCAGCAGCTTTGTTGTTTTTCAGCCGCGTAATCGCTATACGTACCTCGTCATAGTCAGGCGGTGGGACAGCTACTCCATCATCATCGACTGGAGACTCGGGTTCGTCTTCCTCACTACTTTAAGCGCTGCTACCATTCAGTAGGTTATAAAAGTGTTCCCTCCACAATTTAAGTATATTCTGGACATCGGTCACTAGGTCGCCATTGTTGTTCTTACAGGAGTTCGCCCCGGTCTTGAAACCTTCCGTAAGTCGCCTAACCCTTTGGTAGAATTTTCGGGCGTTCTTCCTGTCGGCCAGCATCTCAAGCTCTTCGCACTCACGTATTTCGGCCTCTCTCTTCTTATTGCGGCAAATACGTCTCGCTTCCTTCTTCAGTTCCCTATAACGGTCCCACATGGCTCGCGTTGCGCCCGATCGCAGCGTGGCCCTGTAGGCGGCATCTTTTTTCTCTGCGGCTTCTTGACATTCCTCATCGTACCAGTTGTTCTTTCGGGCTCGCTGAAATCCAACTACTTCTTCGGCGGCGGTACTTAATGATCGGGAAGTGTGGTTCCACTGCTCGCGTACGTTGGATTGTTGAAGAGTGCTCTCAGAGACCAGGTGTGGGAGTCGAGTGGCGAATAAATTGACAGTCTGTTGTGATTGCAGCTTTTCGACGTTAAGCTTTCCTTGCATTGTTGGGCGCACATTTTTTGCTGCACAGAGGCGGGTGCGTATCTTGGCTACAACAAGATAGTGGTCCGAGACGATGTTTGGCCCTCGGAGTGTACGTACGTCCAAAACGCTTGTAGCATGCCTTCCGTCTATCACAACATGATCGATTTGGTTTCTCGTTTTTCGATCTGGAGACAGCCATGTAGCTTGGTGGATGTTCTTATGCTGGAACCTAGTACTACATATTACCATATTTCGGGCCTCGGCGAAGTCGATCAGCCTCAGTCCGTTATCGGCCGTTTCGTCGTGAAGGCTGAATTTTCCGACGGTGGCGCCAAAGATCCCTTCCTTGCCCACCTTGGCATTAAAATCGCCCAGCACGATTTTGACATCGTGTCGGGGGCAGCGCTCATATGTACGTTCCAAGCGCTCATAGAAGAGATCCTTGGACGCCTCATCCTTCTCTTCCGTCGGGGCATGGGCGCAGATGAGCGAGATGTTGAAGAATCTAGCTTCGATGCGGATTGTGGCTAGACGTTCGTCCACCGGGGTGAACGCCAGTACTCGGCGACGGAGTCTCTCTCCTACCACGAATCCAACACCGAATTTACGCTCCTTTACGTGGCAACTGTAGTAGACGTCGCAAGGCTTCACGCTTACTTTTCCTTGCCCCGTCCATCGCATTTCTTGGATGGCGGTGATGTCAGCCTTTGTCTTCCCGAGGAAATCAACCAGCCGGGCAGAGGCACCTTCCCCATTAAGGGTCCGGATATTCCAGGTGCATACCCTTAAATCATAGTCCTTTATACATTTGCCGTGGTCGTCATCAGAAAAAGGGGGTCACATCCGAGGCTGTTTGCTTCTTTTCATTGGGCGGGGTTTTAACGTGGCGGGACCCAAACCCAGCGCACGCGAAATTTTACGCCTTTTCACTTTAGCTCGCTCCCAAACGGGTATTTGGTTGCTACCCAGAGGATACGTGGATATAAATATCCGGACGTTGTGAGCTGCGATTTGAACCGTACGCACAAGAATCGCTTCTGGCCACTCCCAGGTGAATGGCAGTCAAAAATTTTCCACTTCTGCGCACGGAACCAATATTATCAATAGCATCGATAATAAAATCGATTAAAGTATTGATAAAAATATCGATAACAAAATAAAAAATATCGATAACAAAATCGATAAAAGTATCGATAACAAAGTCTATGAAAAATTCGACTAAAATTCCAATAGCAAAAACGATAATATTGGTAGAAAACCGATAAATAACGATAACCAAATCGACAAACATCGATAACACAATCGATAAATAACGATAACAAAATCGATAAGAATATCAATAACAAAATCGATAAATATCGATAAAAATATTGATAAAAATATCGATAATAAAATAAAAAATATCAATAACAAAATCGATAAAAAATATCGCTAATAAAATAGCGATAAGTTCCAAAAATATCGATAGAAAAATTGATAACAATATCGATAAAAATACATATACATCTTTTTTGTGTTTATATTTTTCAAATCTTTACTAATATTGAAAATCCGAAAGTGGGTTTGTTTGTTTGCTATGCTTTCACGGGGTAACTACTCAACCAATCATCATGAAATTTCGTACACTGCTGTTATTAAGCCCAATTTAAAATATAGGATACATTTAATATCGATTAGGCAAGAGGGCGTGGCACCTCCCATACAAACGGAATTTTTCATACTGCATTTCTCAGGAAATATTTTTGGTGGATTACTGGAACTTGGTATGGAGATATACAAAATCATTCTCTACTTAGGGAAGAGGGCTGCCACCCTTTAAAAAAATCAAATTCGACTTCAATTAAGGGAGTTATTTATTTGAAAATTATATTAAAAATGGATGTCAAGAGGCTTAAAAAGGCTGTAGTTCGAATATATCTTGAAAAGGGTAGCCACCTGTTTGAAAAGTCAAATTTAAATTAATTATACGCAAGCTATCTGAAGAATTAAAATATGGTTGCCTAACGAAATATTGTAAAGAAACCTTTAGTTTGAAAGTTTTGAATAATATTCAAGTCTTTCACAAGGGTTGCCACCTTTTTAAAAATTAAATTCAATTATTTTAAATTAAGTATTACAGTAAAATGTGCGCAATGGTTCTGGCGGTTGATTTATCGGTGGTGATTTGAGATTTACCCCTGCACAACTCAATCCTGGTGTCTCCGAATGAAGCTTTAACGCATAATAATACTGGCAAATCACATCCATTGGCCAATCATAACACACAAGAGTTCGATATACTCAGTGGTGCAGCAGGTCGATTTAATCTGATATTGACGGCACTTTTTCTAATTCGGCGATTATTCGTAATGACTGCAGCGCCACCTGGTAGCCCTTTTTGGCAGTAGTATTGCCTTTACCGTTACCAATACATATTTTGAATATTAGCCAAAGTGGATCATAAATGAGATTTTTTGTAATAACTTAACTCCAGCGCCAACTGGCGAGTGAAATTGTGAAACTACACTATACAGAGCGCCACCCAAAAGCACACAAAAAACTTTGTTAAAATCATTCCGGGCATTTAGGAGAATTTCACTCACAAACACATATGCAAAGGAATTATATATACATATGTTTGTACGGTGCCACACCCTCTTTCCAAATAGCCCATTTTTCTCCATGACTATAAGATTGATTTCATATATCGCCGTACCAAGTTCCAGTATTCTACCATGAACACTTCCAGAGATATGCATTATGAAAAGATCGGTTTGTATGGAAGGTGCCACGCTCCGTTTATACATCGAAATTTTGTTTAGCCTATAACAATCCTTGGGGCGTCTGGAGCAGGTGTCTGAAATTAAAAAAAAAATCGGTTCGGCCGTTTTCGAGCTTTGCGAATACATATAAAATGGCTTTCAAAATATATATTAGTATAGAAGATTGGGATGAATCAAAATGGTTTTGAATATGTATGTTGCCATCTTTCTAAAAGGTTAAATTCCAACTATTCAATAATTTAAATAAGTTATTATAATATGGGTATTAATCGAAATGGGTTTTGAAGGCCTTCATTTCAATACTACATGTAAGAGGTTTCCATCTTTTTAAAATCCCGAATTCAGTTCAGGGGATACGTTTATTGAAAAAGTATGACAAAGAAAGTTTAAGTTTGAACACATTTTGAAAATGGTTAATCAAATTTCAAACCTCCTGTTTTTTAATTGAGTTTTCTTGAAATAAATTTTACTCATTGTAGCACGTAGAAATTTCATACACTCAGCGAAGCGGGTGAGGGCGGTCTAGTATTTCATACTGCTTCTTTTTAAGTTCCACATATAGGAGTTCGTTTTCTGAAGCCTCTTAATTTTAAGATTCGGACTGTTCACATTGGATTCACCATTTTGTGTTTTTAAAATCTACTTTCAGATTCGTAATTAGGGGCAAAAAGACAGTTTCATAAAAATTGTATTATTATTATTCTTTTTTAATATTGGATCAGCCTTTTTGAATTTTTCATATCTGCCTTCAGATTCATAATCAGCGAGCCCAAAGACTTCCTCGCTTCATATTTTCGCCACTTATGCTGAGCTGTTGCCCCATAGTGTAATGGACCGTGTGTATGTATGTATGTAAATATGAATGGTCCGAGTTAGAGAAGTTTTCTAATATCAATTAACTCCTACTCTTTATTTGCCGCTTAAATATTAAAAGATGATGTTTTTTCTGTCAATTCAAAAAATAAAGTAATTTTTTACTTAAATTGCTTTCGTGGAATTGGCTGTAAGAAAAAAAGCACAAAGGTAAATAATTTTTTTTTATGTAAAAACATTTAGTTAAAAAGTAATATGGTTAAACCCTTAGGAGGTACCTAATTGAAATATTTAAACAAAATTTAAAAAAGCATTTTTATATGTTTTACGTCATTATGATGAAATTGATTCAATACCTTTGCACAAAGTATTGCATTTCGGTCATGTATTCTTACAAAACAAAACATTTATTCTTTAGCTATCTACTTTTTAAAACTAAAATTGCACATTTTTTAATCTAAACTTGGTATTGGCACGCCCCAATAATAATCCTCTTCCCTATCCGCTCCGCATAATTGTTGCGGACTTGGATATAACTTAGCCCAGACTAGTAATTTATCCTTTTCTGGAATCTCTTTAAACTCCAGCTCTTTCCCAATAAGCATTGCGCGCAAGTTATAATACTTCGTCACCGCATCCCATATAATCGGATCCGATTCATCGCAGTCCGGATCACCACTCCGCGCGTAGGCGGTCCACATACCAATCATGCGTCTTATAGTTTTATACTCGGCTGTGTTTGTAAATAATTTACGAGAGTTATTCGAATAAAATAGGTACGACAATTCATCGGCATGCGCTACGCCACGCACATTATCTCTACCGCAATATTTCGCGCGGTAAAAATTGAAATCCGGTGAATCGAAGTCGAAACGATAAAGAAAGGTAGGCGCACGTGCGAATGTTAGGCGTGACAAAATTGTGCGATGAAAATCATGCCAAAATATTTTAAAGCTAAAGATCTAAAAAATGAAAAGGGATATGTGTAAAAATCATTATTGCAAATACTAAAAGAGCGCACACACTCACATCCAGATACTTAAACAATGAATAGTCATTGGGTTCTTCATCGCCAAAATGTAATTTCAGTAGAGTTATGCCCAATTTCTTTACATCTTTGTGCTTACGGATCTGACGCACTTCCTCAGGCAGTATCAGTTCCGGCTCGCGGAATAAACGTTGTATTACAATCGGGTTCTCTTTAAGTACTTTATATAAAAGTAACCCCTCAAAGGAAGATCCGCCCAACATCATTGACAAGTGATTACTCCAAGCTTTCTTTTGCATATCGAAGGGGCGTTCAGGTATTACGCAACCGTCTTCTACGTACGGCTCCACAATTGGACCAAAAGCAAACATATACGAATTGCGCTGATCCTCTTCACTCAACAAGGAATGCACTACTAACTTTTCAGGTGCAAGGTTGCTAATATATTCGAATACATGTGCATCAATATTATCCCCTTTGTATCCGTGAAAATGTGCCAGTCGAAATGCAGTATTCAATTGTGGCATATTTGCCCAAAAATTAAGCGCAGTACCCGACATGGCAATGGTACGCTTGAAGAGATCACGTCCTTGCTCCGAGAGCATCAGCAAGTGTGTTGAAGCAGCGCCGGCGCTCTCGCCAAACAGTGTCACATTTGTAGGATCGCCATTGAAATGCGCTATATACTTTTTTACCCATTTCAGAGCGAGCACTTGATCTTTGAGACCAGCATTGCCGGGTACTTTTAGCGAAGGATCGCGCAGACTGAGGAAGCCTAAGTGTGAAAGGGAAATATACATAAATCTCTCTGCATAAGAAAAATGAAATGTATGAAAAGAAATTTGTACTCACCTAAGGAATCGAGTCGATAGTTAAAGGTGACCAGCACCACATCTTCCATCATAAAATAATCGGGTCCATATAAGTCTCGATTCGCGGCGCCCATACAAAAAGAGCCGCCATAGATGAAGACCATAACTGGTAGAGGCTTGGAGGATGTTAGCTGCGAAATGAGCAAATAAATGTTTCATTATACCATGCCTCTTAAATTAGTAGTGAAAGAATAATGCTGTGTTCATATATTCAGTTAATTAATCAATTGGTAAATTAAAGTGCTACTTGAACTTATTTTGTAATTGATTGCAAGATTTGCCCCTAACAAACATACATACGTGCAGAGAAAATTAAATAAAAGCTTGTAATAAAACCGACTTAAATTCTCAAGTAAAATTTTCAAATTAATCAAGTAAAAATTTAAGACTATCTACCATTAATTTCTTCATGATCCAATGATCGTATATAAATCAAATTAATGTGGGACCACCTCTAAAAAATCGGTTAACGTGGTCCAATGTTATGTAGTAACATACATATAAAAAAATATTCCACTTTTTTTTGAAGTCAGTAAAAAATTAGTGAAGACACTCAATTCAATTACATATGTATATAATTTTGTCCCGTAATGCCTATTTCCACGGCATTGAAATTACAAAAAAATGCAGGCATTTAAAAATTTCCATGTGGAAATGATTTTAATGGCCATTTTTTAATGATACGAATATTTTTAAATGCCCAACTTTGTCATTATAATTGTTGTCATTTAATACCTAGTTAAAATCCTGCATAACACAATTTGATTTGCAAGTATTAGCGAAAAGAAAGTTAAGTCAAAACGAGCCAACAAATTTTGTAGTAGCAATATGTCAAAGTGGACACCAGTCCTTATAATTTGTTTTAAAAATCTAGCCATTCGAGTACCCTTAAAACCTCGAAATTTTAAGCGCAAAGTAAAACTTTTGAGTTTTTCGAGATTTTTTTCAGTACCAATCAATTATTCTAAATTAAATTTCTATCAACGCTGCCATTCAAATCTCAATTGACACCCAAATTTACCCAATTTAGCTGGCCTTTGAACATACTATAATGATTTTTGATGCATCATACCTTTTTTGTATAAACATTTAGGTACAGGCAATCCTCAGCGCCCTCTACTTTATTAGTATCCGGATTCTTTTGTAAAGGCCCCCTAGCACACTTTGTACAGTCTTTCACATCCGTCCATGGTTCGACAGCATGTGGCGCACGAAAACGTAACTTGCCCAGCGGTGGTTTAGCGTAAGGTATACCTTCAAAGCTGTAATATGTTTGATCGTAAATCGACGTACAAACTCGGCCTAATATTTTGCCTAACGGCAGAGTGAGGAGATACTCCTCTTGTCTGTAAATAATTAAGAATTTTATTCAATTACAGGCTTAGGGCCGGTTACTCAATGTCTGGTTAACGCTAATCTCCCGTTAAACATAGTTATCGACGTTACCGACTCCCTGTTGTACGATGTTTAACCGCAGATTAGTTTTAACCAGACATTGAGTAACCGGCCCTTAGTGTATATTTTTTTCACACACATATTTATGTACTTACGTGCTCATTATGATTTCTAGGTGCACCTTAGTCTAAGAGTATACATATTATGCGGCCAGTTTTTCTCTCTATTACCCGAAAGTGGCGCACAGCGCCGTCGAAAAATATGCTCTTCTTTAAATAGTCACCAAATAATGCCACACAGTAATTTCTTTCTGATATTTCATAATAATCGAAGCGATATCTAATATTTTGATAGCTTCTTTTGACTAATTCAATAATGTAAATGTTTTACTTCATTTCGATTTTTAATTAGTTAAATATTTTATCACAACAAATAGGCAAAGAAAACAACAGAAAATATTCAACTAAAATGAAATATTATTACGTCTAATGAAATGAATGACTGAAAAGAGACTGTTGCTTTGAAAAAGCAGCAAAGCAAAAGAGTCACACTGAAATCACATGCGCTAGCACAAATAGAAGCATATAAAATACATACGTAGCGCTAGTGAGAAAATCACTTTCTAAGCTTTTCATTGATCGCGGGCACATTGACCCTCACAGAAAGCATGAATGTGTAGCTGAGCACCGCTTGATCACTGAGCTCATATTTTACGCTCATTTTTATATACCTACTCTTCTATTTACTCATATACTTTGTTGCTATCAGTGATTCCCCTCGCTTGGTAATTTGTGGGCGTATAAAATGAATAGCGAGAAAAAGGGCCTTATAAATAAAAAAACTAAGCAATTACTTTTTCTTGAAATTTCAGATGTATTACTTGATTTATTAAAAAAAAATTAAGGAAAAGGTCAGGAATTTTAAGAAAAAGCCCAATGTTACTACGTAAAAATTTGTTAAATTTAATGAAGCTAAGTACTATTGTAATCAAGAGAGAACCTTCGTAATTTCTTTCCAATTGCACAATATTTTTCCTGAGAAAAAGCTTTGGATAGCGTAAAAAATCTATACATATAATAAAACTGTAACTGACCACATTTCTGTGCATTTTAGATGTTAAAGAAATTTTAATATGAGGGATTTTTTTAGAGCAATGAAACTCAAATCAACAATTTCAAGAATTTTTGTCAGTCTGATGTTTGTACGAGCATCACTCAAAAACAAATACATGAAATTGAATGCAATTTTCACCGAAGTATTGCTAGAGCTCTAACTTTATACATAGAGATTTCCTACGTATTTGAAAATTGCAGTTTAAGTAAATTGACAAGATAAAGTAATTATTAAAATATGGCTGTCAAAATAAAGAAGAAGGCTTAGAGCCGAAAATATTTTTGTAGAGGTTGCCACATGTTTGAAAATTTAACTTAATTTAATTGATAAGATAAATTAAGTATTGAAATATGGGTATCAAGCAACACAAAAATACTGTTAAGGCGCAATGAAGCACGCCGGGTATTTAATAGTAGTAAATAAGTATCTTTAAAGTCTTCATGGGAAAAGTTTCACTGAATCAGAAATAGTAGGCCTAATAATAAAAAATTCAAAAATATCACCGTAATTCCAGGGTGCGGATTTTATGAAAGTTGCCTTTTTTTCTTCCAAGAGGTAGAATATCTAGTTTTGCTTAAAAATTCACACGATTAAGCTTTCCCTGATTCTGTTATTGCTTTGAATTAATAAATAAATGAATCTTAAAAAAAAAAAAAAAGTTATATTCAAACACATTTTTCTGGGAACAAATTGTGTGTTTAAAGGACAGATAAATTTTACAAGTTATTGGAGAAAACGATGCTTACAGCTTCTATTTGAATTAAAACTCGGACGAAGAAGATACTCAATCAAAGATTCAATCAAATATCAAATTCTTAATTGTTCATATAATTTTTTGTTATTTTTCTTGCAAAATAACCATTCCGTAAATAAATGTGTATCTTTTTCTATTTTTTGGTTTTTAATGCCCATCCATCGATTTCCTTCATTAGTAACTTGACTTTTTGTAACAGAACAGGCTTTAGCACAAATACAAAAATTTGGCACAGAAGCTGTCATTTTTTAAATTTTTCCCTTGTTAAAGTTTTATTTTTTTTCATTTATTCATAGAAAATTAAAAAAAAAACAAGTAAGAGCAGCGCTGTCTTCGGCTATGCCGAAGGCTTCATACCTTTCATGAACATCTGCAAATTTTACTTTGACAGATTACTGCTTTTGAGTACATCTGCATACATCGATAGAGGAGTTACATACCTATATAAAAAATCGCATCTGAACAAACAGAGGTATGGAAGATATACCTTATATTAGCACCAATCTAAGTGATTTTCACTGCTATGTGATCGGTATGTAAACCGACACAATTTATTGGGTTTAGTTTCCTACATAAAGGAGATATATCGCAAAAACTGGTATCTGAACAATCAGTGCTATAGGAGATAAAGCTTATACAGCATAGATTTTGACGATTTTCTCAGTAGACTTTGTATTATTATTTATAAAATATCTTACGAAATTTATCGGTTTTAGCTGTTCAAATAAAGGAGTTTTACAGTAAAATCCCATATCTGAACAATCAGATGTATGGAAGATATATGTTGTAGTCACCCGATCCTTGTTATTTTCACTGTAAGTATTCTGTTAATAATGAGTGAAAATGGTGCGAAATTTCATGTTCCTAGCTGCATAAATGCATGAATTATAACGAAAAATCTCATATCTGAACAATCAGTTGTATGGGAGCTATAGGTTATAGTTATCCGATCTTTTTAATTTTCACTGTAAGTTTTCTGTTGATAATTATTGAAAACAGTGCGGAATTTCCTGTTCCCAGCTATATAAATGGAGGAGTTATAACGAAAAATTTTATATCTGAACAATCAGTTATATGGGAGCTATAGGTTATAGTGAACCGATCTTTGTAATTTTCACTGTAAGCATTCTGTTAATAATGGGTGCAAGTGCTGCAAAATTTCATCTTCGTAGCTGCATAAATGTAGAAGTTATAACGAAAAATCTCATATCTGAACAATCAGTTGTATGGGAGCTATAGGTTATAGTGACCCGATCTTTGTAATTTCCACTGTAAGTATTCTGTTGATAATAGGTGCAAGTACTGCAAAATTTCATGTTCCTAGCTGCATAAATGGAGAAGTTATAACGAAAAATCTCATATCTGAAAATCAGTTGTATGGGAGCTATATGTTATAGTGGTCCGATTCTTCCGGTTCCGACAAATGATTAATACATTATAAAAATACACCCACTTACCAAATTTGATCCGGATATCTCGAAAACTGAGAGACTAGATTGCATACAAACAGACAGACAGACGGACAGACGGACAGACGGACAGACGGACAGACGGACAGACGGACATGGATAAATCAACTCAGCTCGACGTTCTGATCATATAAGTATACATTTTAATGGGTCTATCTCTTTTTGTTCTGGTACTTACAAACATCGGACCAAAGTTATAATACCATTTCATGCTCATGAAAGGTATAAAAACAAGTACGAAAGTCAAAGTTCGGGTGGAGCCGAACATTAAATACCCGGCGCAAGTATTAAATATATGTTTTTTCACCTTTCCGAAAGCTACCGCTAGATGGTAAGCAGGGGTGTATAAATTTTGAGTAAATTAGCGTCTTTAAATTTCGAAATATTGCAGTTTCAAGCATTTATAAAATTTACCGTTATATTAAATGCGGCCGTAATTTTAGTCCGATTTCAATAATTTTCCATGTTTTGCTTTTGAGTGGCAAGCGCAATAACTGTACCGAGTTTGGTACAAATTGGTATAACGGTTACTGAGATATATACATATATGTGATCATAAGTGGGCGGTGCCACGCCTATTTTCCAAAATTTTACTATAAAAGCATTTCTTGGTAAAGAATTGTTGCAAGCATCAATTTTGAATAAATTAGCTTCAATATTTACTGTTTTATCGAAGATTTTGTATTTCTCTAAATTACCGTTATATGGGATGTGGGCGTGGTTATTGTCCGATTTTTAAAATTTTCGGCCATTTAGTATGCTGTACCAAGACCAACAAACGTGCCAAGTTTGGAAGAAATTGGTGCAGCAGTTACCAAGATATACACATGTAACCATAAGTGGGCGTGGCTACGCCCATTTTCCAAAAATTTACAATATTCTTATTTTCCGTCTGAAAGTTATTGTAAATATCAATTTTGAGTGAATAATCTCCAGTAGTTACCAAAATATCGCAGTTTTCGTATTTCTGGAAATTACCGTTATATGGGAAGTGGGCGTGGTTACAATCCGATTTTGCCCATTTTCAATGCCAACCTACCTTGGATAAATGGAAACCTACATACCAAATTTTGTTGAGATATCTCAATTTTTGCACGAGTTATCGTGTACACGGGCGGACGGACAGACGAACGGACGGACGAACAGACAGACATGGCTTAATCGACTTCTCTATTCATTCTGAGCATTTATGTATACATTTGTCTATATCTATCTCGATTCGTTTTGGCTGTTACAAACAACCGTTATGTAAACAAAATTAATATACCCGTGTGCACAAGTGCGCTCGGGTATACAAATTCCGAATTTGTGTGCAGTTGTTGCAACCTGTTCAATTAGAGTTGTTTTCGCATTTTATGTAGCTTCGTATTTGAACTGCAATTCTATAATAGAGATAAATGTGACGATCAAGAAATAAACGATAACGATTAAGACAACATATTACGTCATAATCGAAGATAACGACGAAACTTAAAACAACGAAAATATATAAGAATAAGAGTAACTGAAAGTGTAAGATAACCTATTGAAATTTTTCGATAGAAATCGAAATAAATTCCTTTATAAAAATTTGGTTGTAGATAGCTTTCGAAAAATATGTAGCTATCAAAACTAATCGAGTTATCGAAATTTATAGCAGTATCCAAAGTTTAATTAATATTTTCGATTAATATCGAGAAATATATATTTTTGAGTTATCGAAATCCACCGAGCCCTTGAAAGGTACAGTTTTGGGTTTTTGAAATTTTGGTTTTTTGAAATTCATTGAAATATTGATATGTATTGAAGTTTATAGACAAACTGACATGTACCGGGTAAATTTAAAGACCTGCAAAGATATAGTCATTTTTTTAGTTCCACTAAGCTAAGCTAAGTTAGAAAACTTCTCCAAGGGTTTTATAAAACTAGAAAAAACGGTCGAATTTTGACAGTAACTGGCACTACTAGTACTTAGTTAAGCGCTTAAAACTCCTTACGAGTAGTAGGCATGCTGCACGAATGGCTAATGATGCTCCTTGGATTCGTCTATCCTTGGAGGACAACAGCAAATCCCTCCGCGTAGACAATGGAAAGAAAACGACCATCATATCGACGCCTCCAAACCATATCATACTAAGTCACCTTAGACATATGATGTTATTTTTTTAAACAGAAGATATCTTGATCTTTATTTAATAATCCTGAAGTTTTTTTAGAAGCTACTTAATTTTGTAAGTCTATAATAAAGTACATACAGAAAATTTGAATACAATTCAAAACAATCTCAATCCCTCGTCCTTGAAGTACTCATCCCATACCTTACATTTTTCCAATTCAGGCCAATCGATGAACGTGATCTCGTTACTAATATTTAAACATTTTCGTTCGTCATTTGATGCCAGTGGCTCCCAAACTATGGGTTTAATCTTATCAACATTGGGATCAGAATTAGCAGCAAATGCAGTGAGTAAATCCATCATGAGTACGATGCAGTTGAACTCTTCAGAATCGCGTGCCAACTTAAAAGACTGCGGTGCATAAAAAACATAGGCAAGTTCATCCACATGAACAACACCACGCACTTCATGTCCACAACACTTGATGCGATACAAATTAAAATCCGGTGAATCGAAGTCGAAGCGGTATAGATATGTGGGCGCATGCACGCGACCGAGGCGTGCACTCATAAAGCGATGCATTGGATGATACATGAAATCGTGCGACACCAACTGTAATGATGAATGTAAGAATGATAATAATCTATCTTTAATAGAGACTACTTACGCGCATAACATCCATAACATTTTCCAAATTCACCTCCTTCTCTCCCATATGCAACTTTATGAGTTTCCTTGCCAATTGCTGTTGCGTCGCCAAATCACACGAGGTTCCAATCTCATGCGAGAATAATTTTTCCGGATGCAAACTCAAGATCTCATATAGGTTTGGATATGTTGTGAAGAATTTGTAGCGCGCTAGAGATTCAAAGGAAGTCGCCCCCAACAATAACGGTTTACTATAAAACCAAGCTTTCTCATCTGCAATTACTTCAAGTGGGTCTTTGGTAATTATAGCATCCGATACGCCAGCGTTTTCTTTGACGGGTAAGAAGGTAGGCGCCATATTTGGGTCCCTTCCCTCTTCTGCTAGAAAATTCGGCAAACAGAGCTTTTCCGCCTCAAGTGAGCTTAGATAATTTAAAATATCTTTGTTATCTTCTGCGCCCTCATAGCCCACCCGCTTAGCGAAAGTAAGGTGGACATTAGGAATATCGGGTGTTCGCAGATATACGCCGGACATAAGAATCGCTTTGTGAAAGAGGCCCTCGCATTTTGGTGTCAGCGTCAGCATTTGTGCGGCGGCACTTCCTGAGCTGTTGCCGAAGAGAGTAACGTTGTTGGGGTCACCATTGAAATTGATGTAATTGTTTTTGAGCCACTTCAGCGCCATTACAATATCCTTGAGGCCAGCATTGCCAGGAACCTGCAGCTCTGGTTCGGGAAGACTGAGAAAACCTGGGAAAAAATAGGAAGTGGTTTTTGTTAAAGGCAGCACTTTTATTTGTTTTCTCAATCTGCTCAGGGTGATATGACAACGTTAACTTAGGGGTATCGGAGAGGGTTAAGTGGCTCAGAATAACCGATTTTCATCTACAAATTTGTCATTTTACTACAAATTTTTTTCAATAAATCAATCCTATTTCTGCTATTAATTTTACGCTTTAGATCATCGAAAATATAGTTGCCAAGACATTTTGCCCTCAGTTTTGCCAGTGTTGGCCAATAGCAGAGTAGATGTTCGATGGTTTCCCCTCCTCTTCGTCCATGTAATTTTCTTGTTGCTGCAATGGCCTGGGACCGAGACTATGTGTGAGCGAAATCTTCCACCCACCTCTTTAAGAAATCGATGGAATTGAACGACTACATTTGATGTCAGTGTTATTTTTCACAGTGCACCACTGACGTTGCCTTTGTTAAAGACATTGGTGCCAAGAAGGCGTGAGCAGAAAGATGCACTTAATTGTTCTGAAATTGTTCCAATTTTGATCTATCCGTGGAAACATGGATCTATTTTTTCCCCTGAACATGTTCAATGTCCACTCTTTCCTTGAAGAGAGATTGGTCATGAACTGAGTGTTGATGGTGTGAGTGGGTGGAATGTAGTTGGTTGGAGAAAATCCAATAAGGTTTGATAAAATTCTACAGTGATCCATGTATGGGTGCATCCATTTCTAGGTCGCGTTAAGCCTGAGGCCTGTGCGATGGGCATACAACCTTTCAGCGATGTTGGATCCCCAATTTAACTTTCCATCTAAAATTAAATTTATATATTTAGTCTGTTAGGTTAGACTAAAGCGCCTAACGGTGTACAAACAAGCACACTTAGGCTCTCATTCCGACCAGCTTTTGTACCACAAGGGATCTCATTTACCCCCCTCTCCTTCTCCTATACAAAACCAGTATGTACAATTAAAAAATTTGAGCAATGCTTTTTTGTATGCGCACTAAATCGCTTAGGTCTTTAAAGAGTTCAGAACCCATGAATCTCAGTCTACTCCTCTCCGAGTATCGCCGCGTACTTCGCTAGAGAAATTCGACCGGTCAGCAAACCTACAGCTAAGAAGTTTGTTCATGTTGCAGGTTTGTAATTGTTTTGACATTGCGCCTGCTTCTTATAAGAAAAATACTTGTGTATTGAGCTACGACAGCGAAAGTGGAAGGGAACTGGCCTTCCGTTCAATCTCGTCCTTCCTCTCATTGCTTATTTAGCCGGGTGTGGAGTGAACTGATCTGCAACCACGTTAAGTGATCAGCTTCCGAGTTATATGACACATAATTCAGAGCATTTGGAGCCGACTGACTACCTTAGGAAATACAGTGATTCGGTAGACGGAATGACTTTTATACTCTTAGTTGCTCCAAAGACACTCCCCATTAGACTTTGTTTTCCAATTTGAATCGGTCAGTGTAGAACCCTTGCAAAGGATTTCCACTTTATATACCAGTTTAGTCCTCTGTCCGAGGAAAAGACGAAGAATCTCCAGTCTTCAGACAAACAGGGCATATGTAAGTGTCTCAGCATCCATGTCTTTGTTGATGGTTCCACGTTCGAAAAAGTTAGACGACTTAGTTTATTTAGGAACCAGCATTAAAACGAAATGTAATGTCAGCCTTGAAATCCTATAGAGAATCCTCTCTCAACGTACAAAAATCACCCGGAAGAATTGTCTATAAAAACATCTGAGAGAAAGATTTACGGTCTTTGCGCATGGTCGATGGCGAATACCACAGAGGATGCGCATTTTTTTTGACAAAACAGTGTACCAGTTCCGCTTTTGTTTACTAACGCGAGCAGGGTGTTTCTGGGTCCAAGATACTTTTAATGAATTATGTCTATAATATTTACACATATTTAGTTACATCTATATACTCACCCAGCGCTCCCAAACGATAGGTCATAGTAACGAATATAACATCTTTCATCATAAAATAGTCTGGTCCCCAAGCCAGACGAGATGCACTGCCTGTTGCGAAATTACCACCATGTATGTAGACCATAACCGGCAGAGGTTTTTCGGATTTTAGCTATGGAATATATGAAAGAAGTTGTTTATAAAATATTATTATCTTTTACCTTTTTTGCATAGATATTCAAGTACAAGCAGTCCTCAGAGCCTTCAACGCGATCAGTATAGCGATTGTATTGGATACATTTGGGTGCCACTTCGGTGCAATCGCGTACATCCGGCCATGGTTCAACTGGTTGTGGCGACTTAAAACGCAAATCTCCCAATGGTGGCTTGCCATATGGTATGCCATCGAAGCAATAATATGTATCACCATAGACTGTTTCTCGTAATTGTCCACGCACCAGACCGTGAGTGGTGGAAATGATAGGTTGTTCAACATTTCTTGTAATCCTGAGAGATATTTAAGGGTTAAGCTCCTAGCTGATTAAGATACAAAGTACTGTTTGCCGCTTCAAATGAAAGTGATCTTTCAGACACAGTTTCAGCTATGTTGGTAACCGTTTTTTTTTTTTGTTTAGTATCAAGTTATCGCACTTTTTACGAGCAATGTACGAGTATGTATATTAAGATGGCCCGAAAGCCAAGTAAATTCGGAATTCTAATGCTCTCACCCGCTAGCATTGTTCTGTAACGAACAAAATTATACCCTTGTTGTTTTTTTTTTATTTTGAAAACAAAAAATAATTAGAGATCGCTCAAAGTTTTCCATGTATTTTATATGGAGAAAAGCAATTTTTCGTAGAAATGGTATAGAATTGGAAAACTTTGTTTCTCTTTAGCAGATTTCCAGTAATAATATCCATTGTTTGTTTAACATTTTTTATATTAACTTTTTTTCTATTTTAACTATTTTTATAGGTTCCCTAAAAACCCCAAAAACGCAATGGGGGCACGTAAAAATCGCTGGTATTAAAAATTGGTTAAATACACAACTAGGTGTTCTAAGCACTTCAAAGTTTGCAGGTCTGACAGTATTTACAAGAAAAGCTGTTTTCGCCATTAATGAACCATTTGTAAGGTGTCGCACAGTGGGCCGCCTCATACAAGTTAGCCGGAAAATAATATCTTATTGCTTCAGATGCTTAGATTTGTTGTAGAAAGTGGCCATACAAAAATTTACCTTGATCAAGGATCGATTAGATGACACCAGAGGTCCTTTGAAGAGGGTTTGTAGCAAAAACGGGCACCGTTCTCTTGAATGGATACAACTTCCTCTAATCCAGAAAAGTTTGGCCCCATTGTACAGGGGGCGGGCATATTACATACAGACTAAAATGTGAAAACTGTGATGAAACTTGGCACGGATACATAAATTATAAATACCCTACTTACGGCGAAAACTTATAGCTATTGGAAAGGGGGGAGTGGCACTTCCAATACAAACTGAAATTCAAATATCGATTATCTATGGAACCGCTTTTGCTGGCGTACTTATGGCGAAAAGTGCTTTGTATTGGAAAGGGGGATGTGGCACCTCCCATACAAAATGCAATTTATTGTTGAGAAGGTTATGGATACATCTACATATACAAATCAGAAAACGGCAAGAATTATTCAGTTGGGAAGAATATTTATTATTTTTAGGTTTTTATGATCACATTTACTTTATCTTTTGACTACTTGGTACCCAAACGTGTGATGCAAAAATATTGATTTATGACCCATTCCTGATAAAAACCGTGTGAACACCTTCGAGATACTTTCTTAACTTCTAGCGATTCTGATGAAGAGAATGAGAAGTTCATGTAGATGTTAAAAATATAGTTTTTAACCTTCCCAAGGGCTCTGAGACCAATTTAATCGAAAAACGTATGTACAGTGTAAATTAATTTTAAAGCTATACACTGCAACGAAAGCACTATTTCAAGTTTGAATGTAAAATTGTTTAATATATTCAATTATTTTTTAACCCTCGTCCAGGCGCATATTCTTACAACGCTAACCGGGCGCAAAGGTACAATTGTACCTTCATATAGTTTTGATATGAATTTGTACATTTGGTATCAGACATACTTCTGAGCCGCTTTACAAAGTAAG